CGATGTACAAATGCGCTTTACACAATTGATGTGTGTATGGATTGGGATAACAGTTGTATGAGCCCCTAATAAAATGTTTAAAAAAAAAAAAAAGTTTGTGGAAAAATTTCATTATCTTCTAATTTCATTTTACCCTGGATTTTCTGAACTCTCTTCTCAATACTTACATTTCTTCTCAAAGCCATATACACTATCCTTTTCTCCCCTTTATATGTAATCTCTCTTTTAAATTGGGAGTGTGATTTTTAAAGACAAGTGTCTGCCATTAAAAATCAGTACTCATGTGACTCAATCCCTCTCTAGCTACCTACCAGCTCCCCACCCGCTCCCTTTACAGTTACACTCCTTGGGGTGGGGTTATTTTCCCAACCATTATTTGGTCATGTCACAAAATAAACTCCTCCAAGTCACTTAATCCAAATGGGCATCTTAGTCCTTGTCCAACTACTCCCAGCAGCACTCCAACACAACACCCCACCTCTTTTGAAACATCCTTACTGACTTTGCAAGATAGCGTTCCTTTGAAATCTAATTTTTCAATCCTTGTCTCTGTTGCAGGCTCACCCTTACCCAATTTATTGGCATTGCTCATGAATTTACTCATGGGTTCCCAAACTTATTTGACCTATGGCCCCAAACTACCTAGCATTCACCTGGCAATTAAAAAGGTTTGTACCATAGTCCAGAATCCAGGATAAAATGTAGGTATCCGCTTTTGAAGTCCCCCTGGATCATTCCAGATTGGCTTAGACCTAGGCTGTCTTCATGCGATGTTCTCTCTCGGCACTCTTTCACATATCAGCAACGTTTGCCATCATCCATTAACAAGAATATAAACCAAGAAACTATCTTTGACACCTCTCTCTACTACATCTCCCTCATAAGTCTCCCACACAACTCACACGTACGAAACCCCATGAATTTTACTTCTTAAATATTGTCAAATCTGTCCACTTTTTTCCCACCCCAGTTTCAAGATACTATCATCTTTCACTAGTTATTCTACACCACACTCTTATCTCTCCACATGTATGCTGGTCTCCTTCCAAACCATTCACCAAATTGCAAGCTAAGTAAACCTCTTTCAGAACGCAAAAATTCACCCATCACTTCGGTACTAAACATTTTACAAACATTTTGGGAGTCCCTGAGTTGCCAGCCCTCTGCCTACCTTCTGCTGTCTCATCTCACTTCATGCTGGTCTTCTCTACACATTCCCCACTCCAACAAGTTCCAAGCACTTGCCATTCTTTCTACAAATATTTATGTGCAAAGGCTACCTTCTTTACCTAAAGCCCCATTTCTTCATGTCTTAAAAGTCTATTTCGATTATGATAGTGGG